CTCCCAACTTTGGACACTATCCTCCATCCCACTATAGGCCTCTTTGATTCTTTCTTCAACCAGAAATGCTTGTATATCTATTTTAATTTTTTCTTTAATCATTTTTATTTATTTTGTTAAATATTTTCCAATTATATCTAAATTTTTTTCACAATCTTCTTTTAAAATTTGGAGTTCCAAATTATCTCCCTCCCTCCCACCCTTTCCCCTTCCTTGAGAAGGCAAGCAATTTGATACTGATTACATATGTGAAATCATATAAACATACTTCCATATTAGCCATATTGCAAAAAAAAGAAAAGACACAAACAAAAGAAAATAAAAATAAGGAAAGTAAAAAGAAGTATATTTCAATCTGTATTCAGAGTTCATCAGTTCTCTCTCTGGAGGTGGATAGCACTTTTCATCATAGGTCCTTTGGAATTATCCTGGATCATTGTCTGGATCAGAGTACTTAAGTCTTTCACAGTTGATCATCCTTATATCACTCTGGCTGTATACAATGCTCTCTTGGTTCTGCTTACTTCACTTTGCATCAGTTTATTTAAGTCTTCCTAAGTTTTTCTGAAAGCATTCTACTCATTATTTCTTATAGCACCGTAGTATTCCATCACAATCATATACCAAAACTTGCTCAGCTATTCCCCAATTGATGAGCATCCCCTTGATTTTCAATTCTTTGACACCATGAAAAGAACTGCTATAACTAGTTTTCTACAAATAGGTCCTCTCCCCTTTTCTTTTATCTCTTTGGGATACAGATCCAGTAGTGAAAGTGCTGGGTCAAAGGGTATGCACAGTTTTATAGCCCTTTGGGCATAGTTCCAAATTGTTCTCCAGAATTCTTAGATTAGTTTACAACTCTACCAACACTGAATTACTGATTTTTCCACATTCCCTCCAGCATTTGTCATTTTTTTTTTCTAACGTGATAGCCAATCTGATAGGTGTGGGATGGTATCTCAGAGTTGTTTTAATTTGCAGAAGTGCTTATATATTGTTTAAAAAAAAATTGAGAGGTTTTGTCTAAAACATTGAGTATAGACTTTCCCCCCCACAACAAGGTCCCTCCAAGCTCTAAAATTCTGATTCTGAGTTGTCTAAAAGGAGAAGCTTTAGGGGCTACAGAGAAAGAGCAAATGAAATCTTTATATATCATTTACTCTTCCCCTTTTCATTCTTCCATTAGACCCTTGTCCCATCAATAGAAAATTCCACAATTTCATTCTATGAATTATGAGACAAAACACCAATAGGTTAGGAAAATAGTTTTTGTTTTGTTTTTAATAAGCTCTGATATTGCATATCTGAGAATTAGGATGACCACTATTCAAAGTCCCTGGCCTTCTCTTCTGAATCAGGTCTAACTCAGTCTAGTCCAGTGGTTCATGCTCAAAACTGGAATTGAGTGAAACACATGGAGAATGATATAATAGACAATGAAAAGTTTACTTTATAAGGTAAAGCAAATTCAATAAAGATACAGCAGTAATTCAGGTTGGTTCAGCACCCACTGTTCCTATATTTATTATGGTGCAAGTGCCCATGTAGAAAGGTGTGTTGATTCATGAAGCACTAGGGATTCTATTAAGCCTGGGGAGTACTGAAGTCATATGTTGGACTTTTTATAACTCAGGCGACCAGGAAACCATGTCAGAAGTCCAAGGGCCAGTCTCTCTGAAGCAGCAAAGGTATAGAAGATTGCTTCCTTACTCCTTTCAGGAGAAGCTAGACAAACCTATATTAAACAAAAGTTGTTCCTACCACATTCAACCCCTTGGGGGCAAGGTCCTAAAAAGCTTAAAGGCAAGCTCCCACCCCTCAATGGCCTTAAGGTCATTACAAAGTAACTCTGACTTCAAGGATGTGTTTGTCTGACACAAACAAAGCTGAAGGAGGAGCTTAGTGCAAATAAAAGGGAAAAAAAGAGAATGATGATAATCTAAAAACCTCATAAATAAAAAGCAATATATTTCAAGGGGAAGATATCAGGGGCAATTCACAGCAGATATCATGACAAAAGGCGGTAACAATGGGAACAGCAGTAGGATCGTCAGGGCCACTGTGCAAATACTATGACCTTAGGTACAGTAACCAATTCCCATTTTGTTTTTCAGTCATCTGGAGTAAGGCAGTTTAGAGGTCATAAGCCTCTTACACATGACCTACCCCAGGGTTTGAGTTGAAACCAACAGCTTGCCCCATGCTATTGTCTGTGGGAGTGTTCCTCACCCACCAAACAAAGTATCCTTCTCCCTACAATCACCATTTGAACTTGACACAAAGTCTTTTTTTTTCCTTTAGAGGACTTTGCTCCCCTTTTCTCCTGAGACCCCTTCTTCCATTGAGCCAAAGAGCAAGGTAATCAACTTGTCAGTCAAAAAGGCAGATAGAAAACCATGTAGGTTCATACCATGTTGATCTTCCAAAGGTAGACACTCCAATTGGCACAAGGAACACTTTTTTAACAAAAAAAGTATTTCCTTGATTCTGAGTTAAAGTGATCATGCTATCCCTTGTTCAATGAAACATGGGATCACAACAGAGGGATCATTCAATAGAGGATGTATGATGTTGCTGATGTCTGCTGATATGTTCCACAAACAACTGTATGCAGTGAGAGCCTCCCTTGGTCCTGATCACAAAGGGGAATGCCTTCAACTGCTTAGTCAGACCACTAAAGCAGACCTAGAGCCGCTACCCAGGAATCAGAAGAGATGAAGATCTTACCTTTCCCATCCCTCCAAGCTCTCTCATACATCCACCATGTTACTTACAGATCAGTCCATAGGAATGACTTACTGGGACCCCCATCAATTTCCTGTTACTAGAGTAAGGGTTTTCTTTAGGTCCAATTGCATATGTTTCTCACCTAGTAGAAAAAAATGACATTCTCTAAGAATCATGTTACTATAGGCAGGGGTCTATTAGCTAGTAGAGAAGGCAAAGCAACAAGACTGGGACTCAAGGTCTCAGACCTCAGTAAAACTGCAACCTCTTCATGAAGGGTACTTGGCCCCACTATTCTCTTGAAAGGGGACCATCTTCCCTACCATTACTCCTCAAGCTTCTTGGGCCCTCAAGTCTTATTTTAACCATGAATTGAACATAATCCCAAATCCTCTTCATTATGTTTTCTCCTCCAATTAGTAAATGGAGACCATCAGGACAAGTACATGAGGAATATGAATTCTCCATAATGAATCCAAAAGCTTTCCAGCCTATGCTTTTGACTTTAGTAGAACAATGTCAGTGGATTATTATGGATAACATTTACATCATCTGGATTCTCCCCATCTACTATATTCCCCCAAACTTGTCTGAGTGGGCTGAGCCCTAGGTTTTCATTCCCCTTATCCCTTATATAAACCATTATCTAATCTAGGGCCTTTGTCACCATAGCCTCATCTGGTTGGTCCACCCTTTCTCATCAGTGCAGTAGTAGTGGTTGTCAACGTCCTTAGGAAGTGGAGGGGGGGGCTCTTTCAGGTTGCTTCCCACCAATCTATGGCAGAATGAGGGCAAGTTCAGAATGGTTAGGACATCCTTAGAAACTGTTCTTCGCTAGTCTCAGCCACAGGAAAAGAGAAAGGTATTAATAAGATTGATAACTCCCTGCCACTCACTAAGGACTCAGCTACCTGGTCCACAGCATTGATGAGGTCAGGAAGAGATACAGCAATTAACCTAATAAATATATTTAGCTCCCTGTAATACACTGTGAACTGCCAGGTGCCATTAGCCTTCTTTACTCACTTATGGTAAGGGGGTTAGTAGAGCAAACTATTCTAGTCATTTTCATCTCCATCATTAAGGAGGAAATGTCTTCCACACTCCCATTACCCTGGGCACAATAGTTTGATGGCATAGCCTAGGCAATTCTAAGGGTTTCTAATTGGTCCTAACCACAATAACCAGCACAGAAGTTGCTATTAAGTGCCCATATAGTTAGTTACTCATTCTCAAGAGCTTATACTGCTCATGCCCAATATACACTTACCCTGATTAGCACTGATTACTGAAATTGTAATCCAGAGAGGGGGGTCTTTCATACACCTCCACCTGAATAAAGATATTCCTTCCTTTGGTAGTTTGTTCCTCCAAATCCCCAGTGGAAACTGGGGTGTCCCTATGGATCCATTGAGAGTTGACTGGAACAATAGTATCCAGAAGGAGATATGTGTGTGTATATGTGTGTGTGTGTCTAGATATATATATATATATATATATATATGTTTTATAATGTGTGTATATATTTATATATATATGTATATGTATACACACACACACATGATTCCCTTATATGGCCTGAAGTCCCTTCATTCTGAACTATCCATAGGCTACACTAGACTGCCAAGTAAATTAATATAATAATAAATAATTATATATAATAAGTGTTTGTTGTGAGGGGTCCATAGCAAAAAATAGTTAAGAACCCCTGCCCTAGGGACACTCATCTCCTAGGTCCCTCAATTCTAGATACAAAGTCTTCAGAGGCTCAGGACTACCAGCAGGGTCAGGGCTTTCTGGGATATTCTAGGTCAAATTTAGGAAGAGCAGAAGGGCCCTTAATACTCTCTTCTTTTCTATTCTCCCCTACAGAGCCAAAACCTAAGCTTAAAGTATTTTGCCCAGGAGTTCAGGGTGGGGCATGTAAAGTCAAAAAGCCAGAGTGTGGGAAAGGAACCCGACCCTCTCATTAGAGGCCAGGTTCCCCTAGGACTGAATCTAGTCCAAGACGGAACATGAGGTCCAGAGAAGATGGAACGTTTAGGGAGGAGGGAAACGAGCAGTGGACCATTACCTCTGAGCCCAGCAACAGTTTATTGTTGAACATTACTTTACCGTTACATAGAATACATTTACTGTGTGGAAACTACCTTCGAATTTTCTCTAAGCTGGAAATGGGGGGGTTTCTGATAAAAAGGCAGAATTGATCTCGGAAGATACCTCTGTGTCAAACTTCCCGGTCAAAGTTTTGTACATTTGTTTTTTAACTAACTCACTTTAGTCGGTTCTACTGAGTGCCCCGCCTCCTTGCTCTTTTGGACAATGCGACATTCCACAGACTGAGGAATAGAAAAAATTCCCCAGTCAAATTGGGGACTTCTAGTGCAAGAGGCTAGCAAGCATCGCTTGGAATTTCCTACAATCTCAGCTCCACTTTATCCCTTGTCCCCTCCCTTTTAGCCTTGTTTTTGTCACGTGGGGGCTCTCTCTGGCCAATACGAGGAGGAGCCTTGGTTTCTTTGGCTCCCCATCTTAGCTGCTCAGGTTTCTCACGTTGCTGTGGGTTAGGGAGGGGGAAAAAGTTTTCTGGGGGAGGGAGCGAGCTTCGGAGCGCGTAGAAGCTCGGAGTGCAACTTTGTAGCCCTCGGAGGTTCCGTCTTCTCTTTGCTGCCTGCAGTCCAGAGACATGAACGGCGTTCGTTCTTTGGAATAAAAGAAGAAAGTTTGAGTGAGTGGGGTGCGTGTGTGTGTGGACTCTCGCGGGCGCAAGAGTTGTTGCTGAGTCCGTGGCGTGTGTGTGTGTGTGTGTGTGTGTGTGTGTGTGTGTGTGTTTGTGTGTACTAGTGTGATTGTGGGGAGGGGGCTGCTGAAGCTCCGGGCCAAGCGGCACAGGGAGCCCCCGCGATGAGCCACTCGAGGCTCCGCGCTGCCGCCGCGCTGGGGATGGGGCTGCTGCTCCCCACTCTGTTGGGCTTTGTGGGCTCGGCCGCGGGACAGAGCAGCAGCAAGAGGGGCGGCGGGCACCCACCCACCAGTGCCTCCACCTCCCCGCGGTGTCCCTCTCCCTGCCGATGCCTACGGGACCTGCTAGACTGCAGCCGCAAGAGACTGACCAGGCTCCCGGAGCCTCTCCCGCCCTGGGTAGTGCAGCTGTAAGTACTCATTCTTCCGGAACTCGTCCCTGATCGCGTTCCCTGGAATTCGGCTCCAGCCCAGGTCCGTACTGGGAATAGTGCCCGGGAAGGCGCCTAGGTCTGGGCTCAGTTTCCATTTGCCGCCACTGCGCGTCTGCTGGATGCTTTTATTGGTTCCCTCTGGCTGGGGGTTCTGCGGATGGGGAAGAAACCCCTTCTATTGGGCTCCCAATACTGATCCTCGAACTAGATACTCAGCCAAGAGGAACTAGGTCCAGAGGCAACCTGCCGCCTTCCCAGAGTTGCTGTTCGATCCCAGGTTGGGGTCCTGTGGTTAAAGTCGAATTTCTGATTAATGTCGCGCCGTTCCTGGCCTCCCCATTTGCCCAGACACCAAGTGGGCTCCACGTTGCAGTTGGCAATTTGCGCGGGCACTACGTGAGCCTTTCTTAATAGCCATCGTGCAACGAAGGGATCTGTTTGTTCTTTGCCCCTGTTTATCATGCTGTTCCTTCGGAATTTTACATAAGGAGGCCTTTCGGCTTCTCTCCTCTCCTGTGGTTATTAGTTCCTGGTTCGTTCTCAGACGTGGTGGTGGAAAATCAGATGAAATTACGCAGGGCTTGTTGCTTAACTAGGTGAATTGCTCTCCTTAGCAAGAAGTGTTTGAACGCGACCAAACACTTTACAAAAAAAAAAAAAAAAGTGGTGCAAGAGCAATGTGAAGTGGTCTACAACTTAGGGATTTGACATGTGAAGGTAGCATGCCTAATACTGTACTGCAAGAGTTTCAGAGAAAGAAAGAAAATGTTAGTTATTTGTAGATCTCTCCCAATTCTTCCCTCCTGGTTTTTGGGAATTTAGGGGCCTAATTTTTTTTTTTCAATGGGACATTTTAGTTTAATTCTCCAAGCCAAAAGGAAAAAAAAAAAAAGTGCACTTTGTAGGATCGAAATTAGGCCTACCAGAGCCTTATGTGATTATCCAGAAAGAAATTAGTTTTAGGTTAAATAACTAAAAAATAGTCAACAATAGATTAAAATAAAGTACTACACTTTTGTCTGTCATGTTTGTTCCATAGTCTTCCAGAAACTGAAAATTTAGTCTGGTTGTTTAAAAAACAACAACTTATTTTTAAAATAATACATTATATTTATCAAAATCTCAGTCCATAGAGATTTGGTGTCCATTGGTTTAATTGTAAAATATATTAGTATAATATAGGAAACTAGGGGAAATCTGGGCTTTTGAAAAGGTAGCACTGGAGGCCTGGATTTATTTTTCATCTTTGTCATTAATATGGCTAGACTAGCAGTTTCACTGATTTCAATTCAGTCTACCATGTGCAAGGTGCTTTCCTAGGCAGTGGCTATCAAAGACAAAAATGAAGACAGCACCTGCCCTCAAGGAGCCTTCATTTTATTGTCCAAGAACAAGAGATAAGGCCTTTAAAAACAGGAAGACTTCCAATTAGCTGTGGCTAATTCTGTTCATTTGCCTCATCTGGAGGTCATGCTGCCTCATTCATGAAAAGTGAATGGCTCTATTGACGACATATGGAACTCAACATTGAAATGGCTGGAGGTGGGCACCAATGAATAATCCAGGCCTGAGAAAAAGAAAATGAACTTTTCTTTTTCACAGGTAGGCTGGAAGTGCTTTTCTCACCTGCTGAATCTAATTAACATTGAAGAATTTCTTAAAGCCCAACTTAATTTAAGCTTGTAGATATAATCCACCTTTTTTTCTGAGGGTCTGGGGTGGGGAGGGGGAGGGTAAGTGTAGAAAATCTTAAAAAGCAGCTGTGTCCCTTGGTTGTAAGTTGTTAAACCAAAGGGGGTTCAATAACAATTTAAGCATTGTCTTAAAAGAGCACTGACCTAATTAGGATTTTGTTTTGCAGATAATTTGGTGGTGCACTAAAAACAAATTGCAATTTATTTGGTTAGTGCAGTCTTTAATTACATTTCCGGCCTGTAGTAAATTGTCTTTCTTCAAGTTCACATTCCTGAAACTTATGTGAAAATAAGTCCCACTTGTATAAATAAGCACAGGGTCTGTTGTCAGAAACCCTGCTGTGATCACTCATTGGACAGCTGTGTCATTCTTGTACTTCTGTGACTTTTAACCATCTTTGTAGGTGTCACCAACCGTGTGGTCCAAATTCTTTCATGTAAATGCTTCTTTTGTTTGTGGAGAAAGCTTTAGGGGGGCCCTCTCTGCACTTTATAAAGGAAGGGAGTGGGACAACATGTGGAATTGGGTTTTGCAAAACCTTTGCTATTTTCTCATTTGAAAATCTTTGGCAGGGTGTGGAGAAGACACCTACTGCTTATATTTTGCCTAATTAGAAAAGCTTGGAGGGGGTATATGGAGATAAATGTTTTGTTTCTAAGTCTGAGAATAAGCAAAGAATTTCTTACTGTTCTCTGCATCTTATACTTGGTGTGAACAAATTAACACCTTTTTCCCTTAAGGGGAAGAACTAGTGAAAGTTTGTCTTTTCAGGTTTTTTTTTTTTTTTAGGAGACTTACAAAATAACTTTGATAGTTGTCTTTTGTTTGGAAAGCTGCTATCTAGTGAGTTTGCAGTTGTTTGTAACTGATGACATTAAATAAAAAATCTGCTCAATTGTAGTTTTGACCTGTGATTACTATTGCTCAGAAGCCTCCTATGGGGAGAGAGGGACTAGTTGAACTGAGCCAGTAAACAAGAGTGTTCTACTTAGCCTAACTCACAGAAAGTAAAATTAATATTTGAATGAAAGTGGTTCTTTGAGAATTAAAAACTAATAAATATTTGGTAAAACTTTGTTTACAACTGCCTTTAAAGCTGGACTTGAGTTTACTTCTGGAGTATGCGCTTACAAAGTGCTCTGAATCTTGTTAGAATGAAAGTTTCATAGCCAGGAGGGGGAGAAGTTGTTCCCTTGCCAATCTCAACTATTATTAAATTCTCACTGGACTTGTAGAATTATTTACCTTATCACCTAGGAATTTTTGAGATCTCCTTGAGGTCCACAAGGTAGTCTCTGCTAATGTTACATCTTCAGTCTTGGCCTCTTTCTACATCCTCTCAGTCTTTACCAGGATTGTCAGGGGGAAAATGACCTTTATGGTTTTCACAGCTGTTTTTCTGTATTTTCCAGACTAAAACTTGAACATAGCAGGCTGATTTATGAGTCACTTTAGATCACTGTCTTAAAACAGCTACAGCCTGGCTTTTTGTTTTTTAGCCTTACAGATTTCTGCTGAATTAGCAGCTCTACAGGCCCCAGTGGGATTGATTAAGAAGCTGTTGCTGGATTTGCATTTTAAAATTTGACTTGGGAATCAGGTTTCTGAATGCTGAAAGGAAGAAAAGTCTAGCTCTACAAAAATGCTGCAAATTAAATATTTTCATCTTGTTCACTTTCTTATAAAGTGTAGGGAAAGGGACACTCTTGAAAAGGCTCTTCTCTGAGAGGCCTTAATTTCAAATATTTTGCTCTTCAAGATCTTGGTAAATATTTAAACTCTCTTTCCACCTGTTCCCCCCCCCCTTTCCCTCTACACACACACACACACACACACACACACACACACACACCCTTCACCTTTATCACATCTCTTGTGTATTAAAAAAAAAAGTAGACATAAAGATGAAGTCTGTTTTGCTTTTTTGAGAAGGAATTGAAAGTGCAGATTAAAAAAATACTGAAATTCTATATCTTAAAACTGTTTTTGAGTATATCCTACATATAGTATGAGCTTACATTTAGGAGAATGTGGCCTATTGGTTATGAAATAAGAGTTTCTTAAATCTAAGCTGTAAGAAAGCTAAATTTAGCTACTTAAAAGTTTCACTTTAGTAGTAGAAACAACTTTAAGAGAGAATCTCTCCTTTCTCTCTTCCTGCTCCCCTCCCCCCATAATATGGTTTTCATAGTAGAGAAACCTCAGGAATGAAAGTGTGAGACAAGTGTTTCCATCTTCAGCACCTGGATTAGAGAAGACGTTATCACTTGCACGTGCCCAAGTCCAAAAGAGAGGCTTTCCACTTGAAAGGCCTATTGTTGGGGATCTCAGTAATTATTGATTATCGCTTTAAAGCCTACCCTTATTCCTCATCATGTTTGGTTGTGCAACATTAGTTAATGTGAGATGAAGATTAAATGATAAATTTAATTTTTTTTCTTCTTTGGCCAGCCTCCTCACTCCCGTCCCCTTCAAAAAGGAAAAAAATATATATCTATTTATATGTATGTGTATATATTTGTGTGTACGTATATATATTAAAGGAACTTAATGTACTCAGACCCATGCTTATATATTATGGTCCCTCTATTTCTGTTCCTCTCTCCCCTCATTTAAAACTTTGAGAAGTAATAGGAAAATACAGATGTATAGTCTGATCATAACTATAGTTATTCATTTTGACAATCATTTTTCAACTCCTACTATGTGCACGATAACATTTAAGGATTTGTGATTATACCAAAGCCCTTAAATAGTCTTAGGAGGCTTTATATTGACTTTAATTGGCCTTTCAGGTAAAGCACTGTTTTCTTTGATGTATTTTTTAAAAATGTATGGGAAATCAGTGAACATCAATGGTGCTAAAAACGAGCACAGTTTTTGCTCCAAACATAATGTGAATTGTTCTGCTCACGGTTCCCTTGATCGACTCCAGATGGATGTGTGCTTGAGCTGTAAGTGAAAGTGTCTGGCTCCACTATGGTGATCATGCACAGCAGTGGTTGTAATTGCAGGATTTTTATAGTTTAAATACTCTGCCAGATTTTTTTTCATGTTCTAACCCTAGCAGAACAAATCTACTCATGTCTGTTACTGTCTGGTAGGTCCTTAGGCAAAAATGTTTTGAATAAAACCTTAGTGGAATTTTTGAGGTAAAGTGTAGAAATCCAGGTTTACACTAATATTGCTAATTCTGGATGGGTAGGATTGCTGATAGGGAACTTGACATCCTTCTTAGGATTTTGCATATTTCTCACATGTCCACCTTAAATGAGTTGTATCTTCTACAACAAACTTTGGTTATCCATGTGGTTAATTAGCATTTGAAACATTGAAAGAATTAATCTTTGGAAAACTCGTTAACCTGAAGTGGAAGGGAACTCCTAGCCAGACTAATTTCTAGCCTGAATTTTGTGGCTTTCATAATCTGTTCAGTGGTTCCATTTTCTTTACACCATGTTGAAGATACCTATTCAGCATGTATTCATTAGATCTCCTTGGTCATTAAATATTAAGGAGACATCCTCCAAAACTACTGAGATTTATATCAAAAGTGACTATCCCTCCTTTTAATGATGTTATGAAATAGATGCTATCAGGAATCTTGAAGTTTTTAGTGGGGGGATTTTTTTTTCTACTTGAAAAACCCACATTTTCTTTAACAGAATTTTTACAAATCATTTGTCTTGTTCATTGGGTAACACAGTGGTTGTTTTCCTCATGCTCAATCTGTGCTTAAACTGTGCAGTTTTAAAAAAAAGAAGATTGGATTGAATGATCCTAAGGAAGTAAGGACTAAAGGTTTTTATTTTTATTTGTTTTTTACACAAATGCTGAGACTGTCAATAATGAAATAAATGAACCCAAGCAAACAAACATGTTTGAAAAAGCAATGTCTATTTTGTTTGGCTCAACTAAGTGCTTTAATGCTTAATTTTATGGTAATAAGATTTCTTCAGAGGCTGCAATTTCAGCAACCTGCCTAATTGGCCACTTTTCGCATGGCATGACTTCATCATATCAAGGGAGAGGAACAACCAGTTCACAAAGGGCCTGTTCACCAGGTGCCAAGAGCCATCTTTTTAAAAGTTTGCGGCTTAAAAGCATTTGAAATTGCCAACCTCCTAGACTCATTTTGTTCTCAAAGTTGGCATTTTTGTTGTGAAGTACTTCATGGAAAATATGTGAGCAAGTTTTATATACCCTATCTACTGTTGATGGAGACACCCATAATCTCAATGCAGATAGTTAAACCCTATTAAATAAAACTGGGTTTATTTACACTAACTTTATTTTTGTTACCTTACAGGGACTTAAGTCACAACAAATTGTCTTTAATCAAAGCAAGTTCTCTGAGTCACCTCCAGAGACTTCAAGAAGTGTAAGTAATGTTAAGTTCTAGGTTATTTTAAACTTGGTGTTTAGATGAAGTTATATGGCACCCATATGTGTGTATGTGTGTATACACATATCTCTATATGTGTGTATATATGTGTGCATATATATGAATATATGCATGTACATATATATAATATGCACTTAAATAATGTTACCTGAATTTGAGGGGTCAGGGTATCATTTTTAAAAGTTTAAATCTTCACCATTATTCATTACCATTGGACTGATTTACTCTTTTTGGAATTCCTAGGAAACTGAACAACAATGAATTGGAGACCATACCGAATCTGGGACCAGCCACAGCAAATATCACCCTTCTGTCCCTGTAAGTCAAAATCGCTGCTCTTTGATGTAGTAGGGCAATGACCCTCTACCAGAATACCAGTGCTTAAAGTTGTGGGAAACAATCGTGTGGGGCAGCTTTGCATATTTAATATACTGCATAATGAGGACAGGTGCAAGTAGTTGATACCTACCTCCTTTAAATCAGATCATTGTGTTTCAGAGCCTGTGATTGTTTAGCAGCTTGAAGTTACCTAACGTTGTCACCATGCAGACATATTCTTGTTCTGGTCTCCAAGATTCATACAAATCACCTTCAACCTTTATGGACACATTTGATGATGTACATACAAACCACGGGCTTAATTCCAGTGGTGTTTAGTGCTTGGCATCTTGCCTGGGGACTATGGATTACGTATTTCCTCACGCAGAAAGATCAGCAACATTTTTTGAAGAGTAATAGGAGTTAGTAATAAGCCATCATATGTCTCCCAAAGTGGCGCCAGTAATGAAAGTCAGGATTTTGTGTATAGATTTGGAAACATTGACCCAAAATATCAAGTTATCAAGTTAAAATTGAATGTGTGGTTAAGAACATAAATACTTTTGGCTACTATATTTTCTGTACAAGTTTTTCATTAAAATTAAGACTATTTTCCAGTTTCCAAACATCTAGGCCAGATTAAGTGTTTATAGTTGTACTTTTAAGATTGGTTTTGGTATAACATTCACTTTTAAAGGTAATTTAAAATAGAATTTTTTGAATGCATGTATTCTGGTTTTTATATAAATTCTGAAACTGAAAGTCAGTAAACAAACATAAGAAACTTGAATCACTTTAGATTGTCTTTTAAACCAGTGAAATTAGAAAAAAGTAGAATTCCTTTTTTTAGATATCGTAGGAGAAAAAAAGACATTCATACTTGTTATTCCTGGGAAAGGTGCTAGAGAGGTTGAAGTAATGTAATAAATTTCAAGGAAGCTGTTCAATTAATTAAAATGATCACTCTTCAATTGCTTACATCTGGTGATTTATAGAGGTTTGTTTTTACTGTGCGCCTAGGTCAGCTAAGTCCCTGGTGCAGCCACTGTGTCTGCACTCTTCTGTTTGAATAAGAACTAAATGATATCTGATACTGAGGTGGTTTTTCCGCAGATCTGAGTCAGAAAAGAGTGAAAGAAAAAGCAGATGGTATTTGACCAATACCTACTAAATTTTTAAAGGAACTTATATGGTGTGTGTGTGTGTGTGTGTGCATGTGTGCATGTACACATGTGTATGTGCGTGCATGCCGCATGCTAATTTTATTAACCAATTTTCTGTCTCACAATAAGCTAAGACTTCTTAGAACTTTGTGAAGTTTAAGTTTTTGTCTTTTACATATCTTCAGGCAAATCTAACTCCTGGGAAGCTGCTATTTGACTCTGAAATCCTTGCCAAGACATTGAGTGATTCCTTTAGATACTCCTTGAGGTCACTAGATACCTTATGACTGTTGCTAGAGGAACAAATCCAAAAGAATTGTCTGTGGAGAAGGTCAGAAATGGAATATTGTAGTCTACATGGCAGTGAAGGAAAATCTTTTTTTTCCCAGAAATTAACTAGGGAAACTAGTGATGTATCGGGAAATAGCCCAATGGTTTGGAGTTTTGAAGATACAATTAGTAATCAAAAAATATAAGGGTGGAATCTGAAAAGTTAGATGCTTAGATTATTTTGAACTTTTGAAGTCTTTCCTCCTTATACACAAAATAAATTGATTCATTCTCTCTCCCATTAGTTTTACTATCTCATGGTCTCATTAATGATTTCAATGAATATTTGACAAAGTTTAGATAAAGAATTATGAAATAGCTCCACAGAAGCCAAGAATAATTTTCCCTCCCATGTTAACTTAATGTAATAAAATTGTCCAAATAACTTTGCCCTCTCCCCCCAGATTTGAAGATTCTGAAAAATTTCCTTGTCTGACCTATTTTATTTCTTTCTTCTCTAGCTATTCTTTGTCCATAGGCTTCATTAAGTAAAGTGAAACACATGTATATTTTTTTAAAAAAATTGTAAAGCATCCCAAAAGATAGATGAGGCACTTCTTTAGAGGGAAACGCCTTTTCTTTAAGAGAGAAAATTGTTGCTGGAAAATCCAAAGGCATATTTATTTCAATTGATGAGTTATTTTGACAAAATAAAATGTGATCAATGAATAAGAGGAATGAGGTGCTTTTAAAGAATTCATAGGGTTGCTTTCAGTCTCTCCTTTCTCTACTCTATCCTCTCCATACTTGCCCAAACAATCTTTTTAAAATACATATCTGTCATTTCCCTGCTCAAAAATCTTTAGTGGCTACCCATTGCTGTAGAATGAAATACTAACTCTTTAGCCTGGCCTTTAGGGTTCTTCCGCTACTGGGATTCCCAAACTATCTCTCTAGCTTTATTTCATACTACTCCCCCCTTTACAAACTTGATCCTCCATACAAATATGACTCCTAGCAGAGATAATTGTGGATTATATCCTATGTATGGGGAATGGCTTTCACAGAGACTGGAGGGTTGAGTTTGAGAAATAGCTAAGAAAGAACCCAGAATGAGGAGTTAGTATTTAATACTGGAGGCGTTAGGAAGCCAGAGACAGTTTTTGAGCTGAAAACTGATATGAGTAGGAGTTGTGCCTTTAGAAGATGACTTTGGCAGATTTTTGGAAAAGATGGATTGAAGAGGGCAGACTGGAATTAAGGAAATCAAATAGGCTATTGTAGGAGGTTTTTGGAGGGGCAGCTAGATGGTGCAATGGATAGAGCACTGCGCCCAGAGTCAGGAAGACCTGAGTTCAAATCTGGCCTAGACACTTACTAACTTTGTGATCCTGGGCAAGTGACTTATCCCTCTTGGTCTCAGTTTCCTTGTTTGTAAGATGAGCTGGAGAAGGGAATGGTAAACCACTCGATTATCTTTGCCAAGAATACTCTAAATGGGCTCAAGACCGAACGTGACCGAACATGACTGAAAAACAACTTAACAACAATTGGAGGAGTTTAGGTATGAGTTGATAAATGTATAGAAGTAGAGAAGAGATATGAAAGAGGTGTGGAGAGCAGGATGGTTCAGGGGTCTCCTTGTTGGATTTGAAATTAGAGGATCTGACTGCCAACCCTCTGCACATCACTTAAATTCTCTTGGCCCTAGTTTCTTCTGTAAAATGAAGGGGCTGATCTATGATCCCATGATAATTGTAAGGTAGAATCAATAAGACATGAGAATTAATTGGATATGGGAGTGGGTTGGTGAAGTTGAGGTCAGAGTATGACTCTGTTGTTACAAACCTCCCTAACAAGGAAGAGAATGGTGCCAGTGATAGAAATGGTGATGTTTGAAGGAGGAATAGGTTGAGATACCTACAGGACTTCTAAAGAGAAATGTCCAGCAGACAGTTGACCAACTGGAACTAGAGTTCAGGGGGCAGAATAGACTGAAGATTTCAGACAATTTTTGACAAAATATTTTCTTTTAATTTTGTGATGACTGTGCCAAATGCATTGGTTTTCATTGGCATGAAAATTGCCACAGTTGGAAATTACCACTAAGTCATTAGTAAAGATGATGTCATATACAGTAAATTGCTTTTGTCTGTTTCCCTCAAAATTCAGGGACACACAGCATAATAGTTGGTGAGATGCAATTTAAGTGATATTCAGATACATTTATACATCCACTCCCTTGTTAACCATTGCTTGTATTCAGCTACTCACTTTCTTCCAATGAGCATCTTCTGATCCACTTATATGCTTAATGTCTAAGGCTAGCAATCAAGTAATTTTTGAACACCTGCTTTGGGCCCAGCAATAAGTGTCAAAATTGTAATAGTAGAAGGAGGCATAGATATTTCTCTTGAGGAACTTATTCTGTATTTGGGATAACAAAGCATATGGATAATAATTTGAGACAAATCAGTAAAGCATAGAAGGCATGATCCTTCCAGGTTTGCTTGCTCTTTCCCTACTTTTAAGGTAAATTTTTCATTGATATCTTTTATATTTAGATCATTGCATTTCTAAATGTCTCTCCCTCCCTTCCAGAGAGCCATATTTTATAATAATTGATTTTGAAAGGTGGTCTGGGGGAGTTCAGCAGTTCTAACCAACATAGCAAAAAAATTTGACCTCATTTAGTGTTTCACACTCACACTTCTTCACAGATGCATAGAGTTGGGGAAAGAGACAATGCTTTCTCCTCTGTCTTCTTTGGGGACTAGCTTGGTATTTATAATTAATTTTATAGCATTCAACTTTGATTGTTTTGAGCTCTTTGAGGTCAGAGACTTTGTTTTGCCTTTCTTTGCATCCCTAGCACTTATCACAGTACCTGGGAACATAGTAAGTGCATAATAAATGCTTATTGACTGTTGTTCTTTCCACTTTCATATTGCAGCAATATGTGTCATTATGTATATTTTCTTGGTTCTGCTTCATTTTGAATCAGTTCCCATAAGCATTCCCATACATCCCTGTATTCAGCATTTCTTATACTATAGTAATTGTTTATTACAGTATTATAACCTGTTTAGTTATTCCTGCATTGATGGACATTAATTTTGTTTCCTGTTATGTGTTCTTACTAAACAACAACAACAAAAATCCATTATAAATATTTGATATATATGAGGTCTTTCTCTTTGCTTATCTTTTTGTTAACAGTTCTAGGCTCTTAGCCCTCACCCCCATCCCCACCCCCAAAATGCCACTATAAATATTTTGATGTATATGGGGTCTTTCTTTTTGCCTGTCTTTTTGTTTACAGTTCTATGCTCTTACCCCACCTCTGCCAAAAAAAAAAAAAAAGCCACTGTAGATATTTTGGTATATATGGGGCCTTCCTTTATGTCCTCCTTGGGACATAGGCCTAGCAGTGGAATATCTAGGTATAGGCATTTTAATAATTTCCTTTGCATCATTACAAATTGTTTACCAGAATTGTTAGACCAATTCATAGCTCCACCAACATTTTATTAGTATTCTCTTCTTTCCACAGCTCCTCCATCAATG